CGTGAGATTGGCCTTAACAAGTTCCATTTAACTGCCGCCGCCCATTTGTCTCTACAATAGGCATTGTCTTAGTAATTTTAAACCGATCATAATATGTGCGCGAAGTGGACAATGTTTATTTTATTCGCATTCGGAGCAGGGAACAAAACTCTACAACTCAACTGAGTGTTGAGATGGAAACCTAATTTCGCTTGAAACAGAACGAGTCATTAAAGGGAGTACATTGTTTAGCTCCTCATACACGCAAACTAGGATTTGGAACAGAGAACAGAACCGCAAAACTACAATATAATAAGCTTGTGCGAATCAACAATGTTGGGCAACAGTCAGGAGTACCCAGGTTGTAGGTGACAGCGGTATTCATATTAAGTTGCATGCAATAAAAATACAACTAGACCGGAAGGCACGGTTAGGGGAGACATCAGTAAAATACCAAAGTACGCAACGCAAATCTCATTTGCAGCTCGGGAGTGGATTTGAGACCAACAGACCTCGAAGAATCATTGTGATTATTCTGTATTAGGTGTTGTGAGTTAGATGCATCTAACGTCAGTCAACTTGACGCCAAGGCCGATTTTCAGCATTTTAATAGTGTATGAATGCTTGGAGGTTAGATACTTCTAACCCACAAAACCTAATACAAAATAATCACAATGATTCTTCGGGGCCTGTTCATCTCGAATCCACTCCCCGAGCTGTATGTGAGATTTGAGTCGCATAATTCACATCGTATAAGAATAACCAGACAGAAGATTACCAGCTATGCAAGCCTGACGAGCGGAAAGGACTGCGACAACGGTCGTGTGCTCCCAGGGCAAATTTGTACGATCATTCATAGACCAATAACTATACCACGGTCTAACAAAAACAGGAGACAATAGTGTTCGGAAATGCAACCTGATTGGCCCATAGTCATGTTGGTGTCCACTGATCGTAGTGATTCGGATTTTGGAAATAGAAAAAAAATAACGAAAGATATACATTCTCAAGACATTATTCAGACAGTGACCAAATGTGTTGGTATATTATGCATGAAAAACAAGTTCGTAGAAGGAGCTACAGAAATTAACTACAACCCACTCCGACAACCAACTGATTCAAAAGCTGTGCTGAATGGAATACACAAGCTACACTTGTTGAGGTTGAAAGATAACAGCGGTAACCATTCGAGTTGAAAACATTTTTTGATTTTGCAGTTCGTGCATATTTAACGAGGAAACTGCACTTTGAGAACAGAAGAAGCTTACAAAATCACATTTATTCATTAAAAGGTCACAGTTAGACAGAACAATTTGGCACAAATGAAACTACGCACTTACTCGAGCCAGTTGTAGTGCAGAGGAAGCACATCCGGCCCAGCCCTGACGTAAGGAGATCTCGAACAAATAGCGAACCAGGCGACCAGCATTTTGATGAATATAATTCATATCGGAAGCCAAGGAGTGACAATTGGGTTGATGACGACTGATGTAGCCCTGCAAGAGCGTGTTCACCTTGGCTGGGACATCTGTGTCTACTGTACCAGATTTGTCGACAGTCACATGACAGAATGATTCCTTCAATTCAACCAATTCCGTACCTTCTTCATCTCGAACCTGTGACCACGACCGTAAAAGATTTTCACGAAGTTTGAATTCAAAAGAGCAAGATGAAGAAGATAACCAGAGAAAAAATATCGGAGAATGTGAATATAAGCAAGATTCATTTACTACACACTGCAGCATGTCAGATAGGGAATATAGAATAACACTTACTCTGAGGAGCACATTTTTGTATCATAAGCAATGGAATGAAATGCCGATCCCAGGATCCCATATGCGAGATGCCGATAATATGAGGATAGAGTCATAATGATTGCATAATTTCACAATCCCTCTCTCGGTTAGAATGAAGTCATCATTCGTCTCAGTCCAAGTAGCGCTAGGGAACCTGGGGATGATCGTATTCCCTCGGGTTAAGCAGAACTGAATGCTACCAGGCGCGTCTCCGGGTTGTGGATACAGGGATACCTTCACCAAAGAAGGTTAGCTGTGAATAAGGTGTGGCATACCGCAACAAATAAGCAATCACGAACGCACAGCGGAAGTACCATCAGAGTGTGGTAGGTTTCACGCTAGTCACCTGGCTCCTGTTTAAAAGCCGCCTAAGCCCAATGACGTGTCATGACAAAGGTCCATATGACTAGCCCTTTAAGACGAAAGTCATTGATACTCTCACTTCCGAGGCGAGGGATTACTTCCTACTGCCCGCAGTTCGCATTTGGTTGTGCAAAGACTAGAGGTGCGACCTCAAAATAAAAAACGCCGAGTGACGCTGGGGACGTCTCTCGTGCTAAACTCCCAAGGAACTCCATGATCATGATCAAGATCATATATTTGTAATATTCTTTCCAGGCAGCCAGCCGCAGTAAAGTAAAGTAGGTAAGCGAGAAACCACCGCGGTCATATGCGAAACACTTTTTTTCCTTTTTACCTTACTTCCTTTTATTGTACGTACAAAGATACAATTATCAGGAAGGGGGAAGCGGCTGCTATTCAACACATAATAGGGAAAGTTAGGCGAGGGTGGTGGGATTCGAACGCACACACCCGAGGTGATAATTTGGGCCACCACCTCTTCCACTAATCGAAATCTATTGAGTTCCAACACTTGAGGACGCCACTATGACTACCTATCATCCGCATTCATATACGGTTTTATTTGTCCCGTTGTCCCCCAAGACTAACGAGATACCATGCGAACAGTGGTAGTGGTTGAATATAAGGCTCTCCGTGTCAATAAGCTAGACGTTATGGCCTCACTGTTGCGGACCACACTTGATCACTCATGGACAGAACGATGAAGCAACAACGCCACAGATACATCCAATCATCAGGCCAGCCGACATTACAAACCCATATTCATTCATGAGCAGAACTAAGCACGGTTATAGCTTGGAACAATTTTTTTATTACACACCTTAGTGTGATGAACAACAGACGGGGCGAACCCCATAGTCATGAGGACTAGCTGTTCAGTGAAGGAAACCGGTGACCCAAGCCCCAGGACTTGGAATGGCAAACCACATGGGGCTCTCCTAGGCCAGGTGTGGTATTAACGACAGTAAAGCTGCCTACCACCAAAGTATGGTGGTGGCCAATAGCGGGACTCGAATCGCGGACTGCAGGATCTGAAGTCCGCAGGTGACAGATACCAAACCACTGCGCCACTACCACCGCAAAGAGAAGAGAATGCAGTTGTTTACACCCCAGGCAAACAAAAATCCGAGATCGGGAACGATGGGTGCAAAGGCATTATGATAAGCATGAATATGGCAAATGGCAAGTACGGATGAACAAAGAGAAAGATGGTGCTCCTGGATGGTTTATCCATACAGATGGAAACGGTGAAAGAATAAAGAAAAAATAGACTGTCATCGCGTAGTATAGGAACAACAGAAATCTTCAGCAACTACTGTATTTACAAAGACGGGTGAATAAGGTGTGGAGATTGAGAATTTCTAATACCAACTTAGTAGAAGGTAAATTTTTAGCGACTGTCTTATTCACTCGTGGAATGGAGCCGTGCGGAGAATCGCTGCCGAGTTAGGATTCAAATGAGATGCAATTTATCGGTGATGAACTAAATAAGATCACATCCATGTTCGGTATGTCAGTTGTACTTTACAAACCTGGTTCACTCACTATTGGTGGGAGAGTGGATAACATGAGTGGAAAAGCTCCAGAAGGCAATGCACAAGTCATTTGAAAAGTTCGTCTGGTAGAAGATCGCTCGAGACGTTTTGCGCTGTGAGGCGGGGAATGTGCTCACGGTTAAGTGATTTTTCTATACAATCGCTGTCAAACAGGAATAAGAGAACTCTACACGATTCCCATCGTTCTTCGTCCTTGTAACGACGTACCCCAATGTTTTCCCATCATTCCTTCATCTTCTCGCCCCACTATCTGACCTGGTCGAATGGTCCCTTTTGTTAAACTAAGCAATGAAAATCGAACAATGTTCGATCAAAATGAAGCATATTATGAAGTGCAATTTGCATGCAAAAGACGGATTCACAACAAATACAATGCGATCACGTGACACATTGAGCCTAGTGAAGCTGTGGACATCTTTCGAACTTTGAAATCAAATGTTATCTCATCAAATTGTGAAAAGCAAGCATCAATTCCGGATATTTCATGACTACTTTTTGTTCTTGCGTCTGTGATGCGAAGATAACAAATGTTTCCCCCATAACATGAATGGTCAAAAGAACGGATTCTGTACAACTGCTGATATTAACTAACGACCCGAGACACCCAATTTGCATCGCTTTTCACAAATTACAATAAACAGGGATCATTTGATTGAATTACGTTTTTTATGAAGGCCACAAAGTGAAACTTATGAGCATGGATTGTTCTGCTTTCAATGTTTCGGCGTGTTCCGTATCAGTTCTTGATCATTTTACTATAATATGAAATTGTGAAAAGTTCTGTAGCCTCCGTGGGGTTCGAGTCCATGCATGGACGGTGCCTACAATTTCAACAAAGACTACACTCTGCAAACAAAAAATTGAACAGTTAACCTTGCCTCAGAAGTTCATTCGGTGAACTCCGATGAATTCTAAGGAAAGCCTGTTGTGACAGTCACTTTACATGCTACCTGGCGGATGTCATACGCCTCTGTAATTTGGCTGGGTGATTCGAATGTGAAAAGATCAGTGTCTCGTATCTCAGCAGGTAGAGCGTATGCTGTACAAAAACGTAGGTGTTGGTTTGAATCCCACCGAAACTTGTTCACAATTTCAACATTCATTATGACGAGACTGTACCTTGACGTGGTGTGATGGCTTGTGCACCTCTCGGACCCAACGAGCTACACAGAATGGCTTTTGTCAAGCCCAAGATCTAATCATGCCAGGAAGGTCGAAGGGTAGAGGTCGGACGAAGTCCAGTCTTCAGGTCCTCCAGGTTGGGGGTTCGACTAGAATTTGTGTTCCAGTCGGTAAAAAATAGCCGAGGAGTAATCGATCCAAGTAAATGGGCCTCAACTTCGTTTCACTCGCTGCCTTGCAGTTAGGTTCTTTGAGAACTAAAGGCTTTGGTTGAGAACCCTAATCGTTCTCCTGCTTAGTGGCTGGACATCCGAGCAGCACCTGTCCATCAAAACCCAGTGAATATGCATTGCGAGTTTGGCAGCGATCAGTGAAGTTCGCTTCTCTGTATTTCGCTGTACGACGTTGATGATGATGATAAATTTCAACATAGGATTTCAATCTGTAAACAACAATTACAGCAATATTCAACTATAAATGGCTACCGAAAGTACATAAAAGAGGCCTAGTATATTTTGTTAAAAGCGCGTTTGATTGAGTTATTAGACTAAGATGCAAGAGAAAAAAGCATTTCACGATTCAGTCGTACTGATGCCTTTGGCTGATCTTTTGTGCATTGGTGCTTTGTCAAAAGAAACTAACGTCTCAATGCACTATTTCCTGACACCTGGCACAACATTCGTCAAATATGTGCTAGATCAATTTTGGTTACGTCCCACACTTCAATATCCCACTTGCTGAAGAGTCAGCAATAACTTTCAGATAAGGACGGGTATTAGGTGCGAAACTTCGTACACAGATGTGGACAGTTTGGGATCTTTCATAGATTCCGAAGTGTGAGAAAGATAAGTTGATTCCAAAAAGGCATATGCAACATAAGAATACATGTCACTGTTTAATGAAGGTTTTATTTACGGCGGGCACTTGGATTGCATGGATTACCTAATGTCATCGTCCTTTAAATAGAAACCTGCCTCGCTGAGTTTAGAAGGATAACAGTCAGCAATGATTCATTGAATGACCGTTTTTCATCGAGAGGCACACTTAAAGTGGGTAATGAATTGGTTTCTCAGCACAATGGGCTTATAGTGAGGGAATTAATACAGTAATATTACATACAGCATTATCCTTGTGCAAAATAAAGACTAATCTCTGATCTGATCATGGTTTTAGTATCTTATCCAACACTTGTCGGTGTTTCGAGAAAACCATGGTTCCGCAGACAGGAGAAATCAGCTCACTCTTCCTATGGGAACCAAACAGCATCACTGATTAGGTAAATATAACGCCAAGACCGGCTGGTTGAAATGAGCTCCCAAATCTTTCGTCCATCACATAAGACGGCATTGTGCAATGTGAATCAGCTCCGCACAGCGTAACAAAAACTCATGATTTACTTGTGGGCGTGATACTGCCAGGCTGTACATGTCAAGGCAGATGGAATCTTCTTGGAGAGTTCTCAACCGCAGCCTTCGGTTAAACAAAGCCTGACCCGCAAAGCAGCGGGGCAAGGTGTGGAAACCGCCAACTATTGGGGACAGTTCATCGGATCAGGTGCCCATTGAAGTGGATAAAACATAGAGCATGCCTAATACACCTCGATGCTCAGTCGAGCCGGTGATCACTAGCACGACCAGAAAGATGTGTGTGTGAGTGGTTCGGAATCCTCTTCTTGGTTGGTCTGCAATCAGGGTTTTCAGCCAACTCCCTTAGGTGAACTTTAAACCATGGTTCACCGACCCGGTTATAGCCCCGGATGTGGGCTTTTCGTCCTCCCACTTTGGTGGGAAAACACCTACACCATGAGAAGGTAGTGAGTAGGGTTTCCTCAGCAAAAGCTCTTTGAGATGCTTGTTTGTATGAGAGCATTTTGGGAGTTGCAAGAGAGGAGTGACCACAATGAGGCATAATAAAGAACTGTGAGTACAAGGCTCGTTAAAGGCCGTGACAATGGATAAAGCAAATCTAAAATTGTGCAACTTGGCATTGATTTACACACCCAGACAATTATGCCGGCGAGCTGAAAACGAAGAACTCAGGAGCAGGCTAGAACCGCGAATGACTTGGCGAAAATATCACAGACCGTATACGTAAAGCCGGAGTCTGCCTATGGGTGGACTAGTGATATGCTATGCCTAAACTATCGCGGCTCTATGTGGTTCAACAATCTAGGTTCCGGGGTTTAGGTTAGTGGATTCCATCACTGAACAGCAGGTCCTCGAGACTATGGGGTTTACTCCGTCTGCTGTTCATTACACGAAAGTGTGTTAAAAAAATAATAAAACAAATGCGAGGCACCACCCTGTGGATCCAGGCCGTTATGACCCGCGCGATTAAACGTGCTACAGACGATTGCTGACGGAGACGGAATACGTGTGTATGTGATCTCGAAGGTTTTCCAATGCTGGGCGCCGCCACGTTACGGTTGCATAATGAACCACTTTGACATTCCAACTATTCAGTAGAATGGGATAGTGTGATGAACAGTGGTATTTCTCATATCTAGTCAATCAGTTCATTTTCTCGTTAGGACACGATGTTGTTTGGCATTTGAAGTGTTTTACAATGGATTTAACTGCATAGTCTTTGGACGCCAACAGACGAGAGTAGTTATGATATGGGGAGAAACAAACCCACGAGTGAATTAAAACTGACCTTCATTGCGGCAAATTCCGAAGCCTCGCTCAGTACCGAGAACAGTTGAGGCAAGATCATGGACGGTTCCAGGGTATCCCGAACCATCGATGCAGTACTGTATCGAATATAGTATNATAGGCTAGCTGTACGACCGCGATCAGTGGAAGCCAGTTGCCCAGTGCTCGGTTCGAATCGAATCATCTCAGCCTCGTCTAAAGCCATCGCACTGGCTCGCAGAGCATGACGAAGATATTCCGACAGGTCCGGATCACGCTGAAATGAGTGTAGTGGAGGACGCCAGGGCAGGAAGACGAGGTAAGACAATGAAAAGATTTTATCATCACTAGAAGGTATCAGATTATGGAAACCGAACACTTACTTTTTAGACTTTCTATTTTCCTTCCACGATATACTTTTTCCTAAATTCCTAATGATGAAATCATGTGTGCGTTGTCCTATAATGCGGACGCATCACAGATGAAGTGTCGGTGCGCATACAAAAGGTTCGGTTGCTAGTTGCCAAGTTTAGACATCTGTGGCGCTGTCGCGACATCCAGCTGCCTGTGAAGGGTTGAGTATACGCTGCAGCAGTTCGGACAGTGCTGCTCTACGGTGCAGAGACATGATCATTACGGGAACAGGATAAAACCAGATTCACGGTGTTCGAACACCACTGTCCACGTCACATTGCACGAGTCTGGTGGAGTAACCAGACGAGCAATGCTGAGGTTAAGCATAGAGTTTTAGGTAATTGCGGTCGTCCATTGGAGCAATTAGTCGACCTCCATAGATGTGACTGGTTAGGGCGTGAATTACGCATGTCACCAGATAGGTTACCGAGACAGGTAGCGGTTGGACAACGGTTAAAGGCGGACAAACGAAGACCGGGAGTGAGGGTATGAAAACCCTAACCAGGAGACTGGTTCACATAGGTCACGTTAGGCTCCCTGGATGGGGATGATCAGGATGATCATACCTGACGGTTAGAAACATTGAGCGATATGGCTGGGTGTAGCAGACAGTGGCGCTCGCGCATCTACTCTTTATTCTCTTACCATCAGTCTATATGAATTCTCCATGTTCCACTTGAATTTGATTGCAACATTTCACTCTTCATTCTGCTCTTTTATCTAAATGGGCGGCTAAAGGGTAGCAACCAAAACCGTCACACAAAAGTACATGGTTAATGGATGTAAAAACTGAAAACTGATGATATGACAACATGCAAAATGGTATCTCATAAATTAAACCACGATCCTGAACTCGAAATCTTTTGTGAAACCATATAAAAGTGCAGACGTATTTTTCATCTATATAAGGGTATCCAATAGAGCAATCTTGATTTTTTAAGTGCAAAAGATGAGCCTATGCCTGTTTATTAGCTTCATGTTATTTTTAACGAAGATCTTACTAGGCATGCACATACAAACCGAATTTCCCGCCAACAATTAAAAAGTGGATTAACATGTTCTTTGCTTTACAGATTCATCTGTTCCTCTAAACTTTGGCAAAGCCATAAGTATTTGCTTGCGTTCTATCCCACTTATTGTATGCTGCACCCATAATCTTCCTTGATCCGCGAAGTTAGAATTTCAAAGAAAAATCTAGCTTAATTGGCACATACAAGTTTACCTCAAAAACAGTATATCGAATACGGGGCTTCACGTTTCAATGCGTAGAATGTGTGAAATGAAAGCTTAGCTATCCCAACCACTATTCGCGGCGGTTTTGTCCCTCACCGGTAGCCAGCAAAGAGGATTCGCGTGATTTCTGACCTTGCAACATTCTTTCATTTGTCATTCCTTTGAATCTCTGGCATGTGAACGCCACGAAAGGTAGAGGTCATAGCTGACTGAATTACATCCAACTCTAAGTTGAATGCCGACCGTAGTCTTCAGTCCTTCTTCCATTCATCGTGCCACTACCTTGTACCTCGAATAACCACAAGAAAGATCGGCAACTCTTTGTGGCTTGGGATGTCTGTCTTCCATCCGTCGTCTTAAAAATGTGTGCCCTGAAGTACGCCCCGATACCGCGCCGTCTTTGCTGTTCTCCACTAGATCTCAAATCTTGACCTACTAAATGGAAAAATGCCATTTCTTCTCCTATTCCAAAGCGTGGTGACCCTTCCGATTATAGTAACTATCGTCCCATCACCCTCAAGTCGGTAACATTGAGAGTTCCGATCATCTGCGTTTCTTGAATGTAGAGGTTTTTTGACTGATTGTAAATTGCATTTTGAACTCATCGGGCGACCTAGTGGCTCTCGTATCGCGTTCGTGGTTAACTACAATCAATAAACAGGGAAGCAATTCATAGTCTTTCCTGCTTAATAATTCAAAGTCCTTCAACATCATCGGGCACGATCTATTGCCGAAATTACCGACATTCAGATTCAACCGGTCTGTCTGTAATCTTTTCTCAGCGGGCGAACAATCTCTGCTCAACTCTCGTCCCTTCCTTGTGAATGCAGGTGTTCCCCAAGGTTACTAACTCGTTCCCATTCCCTTTCTTCAACTTATTAGCTACGTTAGCCAAAAAACCTCCAATCCCAGTCACTGTTTCGCCGATGAAGTCACTCTACATTGTTCTTTTTTCTAACACTACGACCCACCAGTGTGACTATTAGGTCTATGGTCTCAGACTTATCTTCGAACGGGGTTCCGGAATCAGCTACAGCTCACTGCCTTCGAAATTTCTCTGGTTTCAATCTCTCCTAAACATTTCCCTTATTCTCCTCAACTGATTTTAAACTAGCCTCATCTGCGATCCGCAAATTCTATCGCATGGATAATCCACACATTCTTCGCTCTACTGGTCACCTTTGACATTCACATTACGCTGCGCTGGATCCCGATCACGCGACAAGAGGTTCTTTACATTGACGCAACTTCTTTTACACAACGCCCAGGTTCGCCCGATGTTGCGGTCATATTTGGGGTGGACCTGACTGAGTCAAGCCAGCTGATTAACAAACTGACATGAAACCTCAGATCTTCAGTCGCTTCCACATGGCCGGGCAGTTGATTATCACCTCTCTTCTGCTATCAATTCTTTTGAACTCACTTCCCGAGTTCCTATTCCGTCGTTGTTTTTTTTTCTGGTCCATCTCGTTCTCAAACAGAAAGTCATCTTTATCGTGTTTCTGTCGGACTTCTTGCTGTCAGTATTCCTTTGCCCCAGGAAAGCGAAACTACAGAACACTCATTCCACTTTCGTATTTTCAACCGTTTAAAATCCTTTTCCTTTAAAAAGCAGCATTACCAAACAGGTTCAAACCGGAATGTTCCCCCGAATACCTTCCCTCGTATGGCGTGTAATTGAAAAAAAGTTGCTCAACTAAGATACATCAAGCAGAAATTCTAGTTCATGGTATCGTGATTCAGATAACCAAAATAGATGGGTGAAAACGAACAAAAAGTGATTAACACAAGCAGTTTAAAGCCAAAAATGTGGAAGGTGAATCGCAAACGGTACAGAGTAACTGTAAATCAATATAGGTGGGAATACAAATCACGCAGACAAAGCACCATGCATCGTTGCAATCCCAAATAAATTGCAGCAGGGGAGAACACAGCTTACCTCGGCAAAGTCTCCTTGAAGTCCATAATGCAACGGATTTCGCACGAGACGAATGAACAAATAAGTATCTTTTAACCAAGTTACGGCATCATCCAGATTATTGATAGTTCCTAGAGCGATCTGAAAAACGAATTGTTGAGGGAGAATAAAGTCACCTAGGCAATTCACCCGAGTCGCCAAGGCCATAAGCATTTATTTATACCTATGAACTCAGCTGTACACGGACAAGGATAAGATGACTTTTATTCCCATGATAAACTGACTGATCACCGAAATGAACAGATGTTAGTCCATCATTAGTTGGTGGCCAGATTCGCTTTAATACCTCTCTTAATAACGATTAGTGCACATCGCGATTGGGGCTTTCTTAGGTGGACACTGGAGCAAACGACTAAAACAGTGGGAGAAATGAGAAGAAAGAGGTGACGATCGAAATGATCTACACCAAAATGGCCGTTGCATAAACAAATCATTTTTCTTAGATTGTTGTATCACAAGTCGAGAAACACACACACACACAAAACATCCATTGTGATAAGCGCAGTGACCAAAACGAACCTTCGTAACACCCACCAAATTATGTCTCTTAAGAGCCATTGATTGATCACAGATACTTCTTGCTGAAAACTGACCGTACAGTAGTTTGTTTAGTGAACTAAATGAGAATATTTGAAAAATTTAATTAAATTTGCCGTGTACAGAACAATTGACACAAGAACCGAAGAGCTTGGTAGTAGGTTTCGATCTTGTTTGTTCTCATCATCAGCCAGGAGAATCGATCGAACCAATTGAGGATCGAACACGAGAGTGAGCAGGTGGAATGTAAGCATACTGTCCATTTGACTGACGGACGGTACCACTTCGCCTATACACAATAGCACAACATAATCCACATTTCTAAGCTTGCTACGGGTAGCAAACCTCGTTCATCGTATCACCGAAATCCATGGTTTTTAACCCTGCTGAAAACATTCTGATTTTGGCTACTCTCTGCACAAAATATCGAATTACAATGTGGTCTGAGAGGCTTTCTAGAGAAGTACAAAGTTACTGATAATATGGAATTGTTTGGGAAATTTATCCTTTACACAAAAGATCGATTCATCAGGTCAATAACAAGTCAGTATTTTCGTCATCCTTCCGTGCTGAGTGACAAGTCAGTTTCACATGACAAAGCCATTCTCACGACGGGTGAAATCCATATATGCGAATTTCTAATAACTAAGCACAGAATCGAATTAATGGGAAAATGCCAACGATACTGCATCACACAATCGGGTTCGTTATTGTTTTGGTTCGAATCATCCTCAAGTACATGAAGGCACATCGGCTTGGGGCTAGACGAAGGCTATTGTGTAACTAGGAGAGAACACACTTATAAATGCATTTTATGCACCCGCAGCCAGCAGTCACAATCGCGCATGGAGGTGGTCACAAGTGATGAAACAAATTGTTGGCAATGTACACCTCTGTATGTAAACGACCAACGATCCTCAAAGCAACAGTCTATAGCTATGCACAAGCTGTGAAAGCTAGTTGTGACAAAAACAAGAGCAGAAAAAGAGAATTGCACGGGACAAACCTCGGCGTTCAAATGGTCGTGCAGGTTTTTCAACAGTGTGCTCTCAATCGGATGTTGATTGGTGATCCGACGCAAATAGTAGTCCAGCATGTCTTTTGTGGTGATTATGGTAGCTACACCTAAGCGATCAAATTGTGGTCGACCAGCTCTGCCGAAAATCTGCCAGGTAAAAATCAGGCGAACAGAAAAATTTAGGCGGGGAGGGGAGAGGATGGAGAGAGAGAGTGCTTTATTGTATGTACATCAATAGAATGCGCAAAACAACAGAGCTAGGCTGATTTATAACTGAGTATTACATCTGTAATTGTAGAGGATATCTTATAGAATATACAAATAAGCTTGGAGCATAGTATGATCTAGCGTAATCAATGCATTCGTTGGATCTCATTCACCTAATCCGGGAAACAGGAATAAGTGTGAAAGTGGACTCAAAGATCCTGCTGTTTGCAGGATCTGGGCTCATTCACAAGGCATGAAGAAAAACTATCTATCAGTATTATGCCGTATTCAGTGGAGGGCGTTGGTCCCTTTCATATACCCTGGGAGGCAATTAATTCGAATTCCAACATTATCGCCTCATCCTTCTTCTGTTCATAATAACACACGAGTCCTTTAATTGACCGCTGTCCGTTCTTGATAAAACACCAGTGCAAGTATTTCATAATAAGGAAGCAAAACATCACGGGAAAAGAGACAAACCAGACATTCAAGGAGGGTAACATTAATTTTCCGCCCGTGCGCGTCTAAGAAAGTAAAGGGTGGTCAAGCTAAGACCTGGAACGAGGACATGAAAACCCTAACCAGGAGCCTGGGTCACATAGGTCACGTTAGGCTCCCTGGATGGGGACCTCGGGATGATCATACCCGATGGTTAGAGACACTGAGCAATATGGCTGGGTGTCGTAAACAGTGGCGTTCGTCCATCTCCTCAATTTCTTTGCAACCTTCGGTGTCGTAAACAGTAGTGTTTGTGCATATTGTCAATTTCTCTGCAAAATTAGTGCAATGAAATCCTAAATTTTCTCTTCGATCCTACTTTCAACCTTCCTGTTTTTCTCCTCATGTTCATCCAAATGGTCAGCCAAAAGACAGCAACCAATACCGGTGCACGATAGTGTATGGTTAATGGCTGTAGAAACTAAAAACTGAAACTGCGTGTCTAAGATCAACACTCACTTGCAATACATCAAGAACGTCCAGATTGGTGAAATCAGATTGTTCCGCTTTGTAAACTCGAGTCCCACGGATGACAACCGCATGCGCGGGCAAGTTCACACCCCACGCCAGGGTGGCCGTACACACCAGGGTGCGTATATGCCCGCTGGCGAACAGTCTTTCAACCAGGCTTCGATCTGGACGCAGCATTCCGGCGTGGTGACAGGCGAGTCCGTCGGGAACGAGTTCACGCAAAGCCATATCACTGGAACGTTCCAACTGCGAACGAAAAATGCGGGGATAGTTCACATTTAACTTACAGTTATTTGTGGGTAGAGTGTATTTATTTAACGTGTCTCGATCCCGACTGTGTACCAAACAAAACGTAGTAATGTGCGATAATTGATATTAGTTTGAACTGACTATTCAAGTCAGCCTATAATATGCACGAACTGCGTGACTTGACGGGAGGTTTTCGATTGATGTTAACGGATAGACAACTGTCTCCCTTCGTGCTGTCGGGCCAGAAGGGAATTGACTAACTGTCAATCAAGACAACACCAAAACTAACATGAATTAGCAATCCGGTTCAGCCCTGGTGGGACAGTGGTTGGCACAGTGGTAACACACATGCGTTCCACTAGATGGTTCCGGAGTTTAAATCCCGGACGGGTGGGTGGATGTATTATTGATGAGCTCTAATAAGAGCAAAATTTGAGTGTATTGCTTCCGAGCATTCAGTGACGATTGTACGTGAAGATGAAATTCGAAGGATAGTCAGTTCAATTCAATGTGAGGATAACTTTCCGTCAAGAATGCTCTTTATAAATTGAGGCAGGTTAACTCAGTTGCCAATGGTGCAGCAAAAGCGACCAGATGAAGTTTAGCTGAAAGAAGCGTGAAAACGTTTTTCCCGTATATCGTGAAAGCTCTGTGAGAATCCATGTCTAAAACTAAAAAAAACTGGTAATCAGACGGAGAGGACGCTGTTTTCCGAACGATAACAACAGAATTAGCAATGTCACAGTTGGTCGACCAGCAACAAAACATTTACGGAATAAACTCCTGGTCACATGACAAGAACCTTGGCATCAGACTAAAATCACGATGGATACGAAATTTAACAAGCCGAATGCCGTTGGAAATGTTCGACAAACAGCTCGGACAATGGTTTCGATGTTGAGGGGACTCCTCAGCAGTGCGAACTATGTTTTGTGTTGCTTAGAGGACTCGGACATCAAACATTCAGATGGTGAGTCATTGTGTATACTAGATGCATGCATACTAGAACAGCTAATGCTCCTATTAGAAGACTCCTTAGAAAATGCCTGCGGAGCCAGTTACCGACTCGTCTCAACAGCATATTCTGTCTGAGGAAAAAACCGTGTTTTATACCTGGGTGCAATAAATTTATGGCATATATCATCGAAAGTCATACTTTTTTCAAAATTTTGAACGTTTCTTCATTTTCACTCAACCGGAAATGACTCATGTGACCCAACTGCCGTGCGTTATCACGAATCCATCGAGCTGTGCGCACCGTGTCTCCTCGGGCATGTACAAACACCATGACCTGTGGAGAAGAACATACAAGAAGAAATTGATTGATTTATGTTGTGGTCCTGATTAGTACGCCAACTATCTAGCCTTGTCGGTCATACCATCGTCTCCAATTATCGAAAACATAAGGTCAGAAAACAAAGGAAATATTTACGACAGAATAATATGCAACTTCATATATATCAAGTTACTACAGAATACGTATATCCACAGGGAACACCGAGACCACTTCCGATCAATCCTCTATGGACAAATCGAAGACTGACAACCCAAATTAGCTGGTGCATAATTGTTCAAATTGCTTTTGGGCAGATTGAAGTCTTTTGTTAAAATTTTGAAAAGTTGAGTAGCCTCGGTGGGATTTGTACCCACGCACTGACGCGCTCTACGTTTCCATCTCGTAGAATTCACCGCATAACTGATGAAATTGTGTAAACGCCAATACGAGTAAGCTGTACAGGTCACTAATATTTTCATCTTTTATTTCAGTACCCGTTTGTTTGATCCACTTCTCTCGATTTCTCAAAGTGCATCCACTGTAGTTCAGTCAACAAAAAAACCAACCAGTCAGCATTATCGACAACGTTACGTTACTGCCACTTCACAAGCAATGGTGATATCACCTCGGCTGGTCATGAAACGTTTGCAAACAAATTGCCAAGCTTCGCGAACAGGCGAAATGGAACGTTACGGAATGTCTAGTCCTACTTGCCACACATAACGGTTCTTATGGATGCTTATTGTGTCTGGGGAAAGGTCATTAGTTCAGCAACGTGCGATTATCGAGGCTTTGCCAGTGAGCCTTTCCGTTCATATGCATTGAACATCACAGTGCAGTGGTAAAAATATTTTGTTTTCAACCCCCTTCCCCTCCCTTCCTCACCCCTACCCAAAAAACAAACACTGTTGTCTACAGACGGGATCACAATGAGCACCAAAGAGCCACGCAAAAACGTACCTGCTCTCCGTTCTTCACCTGATCAAGCACCTTCTCGTAGCAAGCTTCGTTCATGTGTTGTTCCTGAGCCTTGCGACTGGCTCCACGAACACCAACGAAAGACATGTGCAACGGTACAGGACGAAATCGATCATCAAAGTAGAACAGACCACGATGCAGATTGACGTGCAGAAATCGGGCCACGTCCACATAGTTTGGTAGAGTGGCCGATAGACCTACCAGACGAATCATGGTCTGAGATGTTTCCACCTGTGTTTGGTTATATGGAGTGAGAGTAGACAGCCGATTTACTGGACCGAAACGAACAAGCATTTTGTTGATAAAAATAATGAAGGGCAGGATAGCTTAGTGTACATGCATCATCATATGCTACTGTCATAAAAACAAGGTCCTCATGGAGAATAGAATGAAGGGATTGAATTGATTATCAATCGTGAGACACACTTCTGGAAAAAAAAGAGAAATTCGGACTAGAATAAGGCCAGCACCACGAACGAGCACCGAATCAGCTCAGCATGCATGTGACGCAGTATCCCGTATTCCACACAGAGGAATCGCAGATAACATGTAAGAACAGAGATTGCAAGAAAAATTACCTAAGGCTATTTGGGGATTACAGGAGGAAAAAATCACAGCCACTAAAAAGTTTAATATGGTGTTACATGTAAGTGTCTTTGTCTTTTCGCACAGAGTTTAACTCGTCGAAACGATGCAGGATACCTGTTTTGGGGTGCTTTCATTTTTAGTGGTACTGCCTCGCTGTTGTCCAGTTCGATGACCCAAACGTAATTTTCTAGCGACCTACGTGGTTCACGACCCAGAGCCCCAGAGAGTAAGTTAACACAGTGATGAATGGGGAGAAGATCCGCATGCATGTGATGTTCATTTACACTAGCCTCCAAAAGCCTCACTATGGTCGGGGGTGGGTGTCTAGGGTTGCGGCTAGTCACCCTTCGCTTGCACCTCACGAAATGCTCCCATACGACCAAGTGTCTCAAATAGCCTATGCTAAGGAAGCCTTACTCACTGCCTTCTCGCGGCGGAGGTGTTTTCCCACCAAAGTGAGAGGACGAAAAGCCGATATGCGGGGCTATAGCCCGGTTGGTGGACCAATGGCAGTTCACCTAGGAAAGGTTGGCCAAAAATCCTGATTGCAAACCAACCATGAGGAGACGAACCACATCCACACCTTTTCGGTTTTGGCAATGGTCACCGGCTCGATTGGGTATATATTGGGTGTATTGGGCACCTTGGACGTCTGACCCCGTCCGAAGGGCGTGTGATCCGATGAACTGGACACCGGCCGGCCCAACGGATTGCGGATTCCACACACCGCCCCGCTGCCTTGCGG